AAAGTGAGGCTTAACAGGAGACCTCACAGTCTCTTCCTGAAGATTAGACAATGCACATTTAGTGCCTGGCACTACACAGAAGGAGCTCAATAAGCATTAACTATTAGGGCAGCCCCGGTGGCTCAGCGGTTTAGCGCCACCTTCGGTCCAGGGCATGATCCTGGAGACCGAGGATCGAGTCCCAAGTCAGGCTCCCTGCGAGGAGCCTGCTTCTCCCTCTGCCTGTGTCTCTGCCTCTCTCTCTCTCTCTGTGTCTCTCATGAATAAATAAATAAAATCTTTAAAAAAAAAAAAAGCATTAACTATTATAAATATTATTAAGCAGATAAATGTCAATTAACATTTATCCATATAATATCCTACGGAAAAGAAAGTTTTTCAGGAAAATATTGAATCTAGATCTTATGTGATCCAAATACTTTTATCAGGGAAAGATGCTTATGAAACAATAACCTCATAAAACAATAATCTGAGGAAAGGCAAAGTTACTGATGCTTTCCAGATATGGGTAAATTAGAATGCAAAGTGTAAACTGTTTGAATTTAGAAATGAAATTCCAAACAGGCATAACATTAACATCTATTGCATTACCTGAGAAGAATAAAATGTTAATATACCAGACAATGGAAAAGCCCCCAAAAATGCAACTTTGTCACATCTACTTCAAAAAGAACCAATTGTTGGAGAAGAGCATACTGGACAAACTTCTTCTTCAGTCACAAACGTCTGATTTCTTGTAACTCAAAGCCCCAAAATATCTATTATTGAACAAGTCAGTTATTATAGTGAGACATAAAACTTTAAACACATGAAAAACAAAACAAGGCTTAAAATGAGAATTAATGAAGAAAGCTAAATATTAAGAAAAATACTGAGGCAAAAAAAAAAAAAATACTGAGGCAGGTAGACTAGAGAAGGCTTGGTCTCTCCAAATGGAACATTCATGGTGAATAGGAATGCCAACGCCCAAACACGACCTTTCAGATTCCAAACAAATTGCTGAGAAGTTTCTGGTAGTCAGAGAGGGGGAGAGAGGAGTTTACCCATTATTAGAAGTCTGTTCCAAAATAAAAATTTTTTAATTATAATTTAGAACAAAATTCTAAAAATGAAAATCTTAACGAAGTTTTTATAATCAGTAAGGAGAACAATCCTCAATATTTTCTAAAGTTATTATGTTCTAGAATACAGCCTTGCACTTTTATTAATTCATTACATCCTCACAACAATCCTATAAGGTCATTTAAAAGAAGACATTTTGATGTTAAATAGCTTGCTCAAATGGTAACACTGATTTTGGATTACTACCTGTCCCAGACAGTCCCTGGGAAATTAGTGCATTAGTAATACCTTGAATTCTTTATAAGAGCAGCATTACTTTCATCTGCGTACCTATGGATCCATACTCTTAACACGTGAAGAACATGGCATTATAATCCAAACTGGTCTGCAACAAGAAAAATATAAACTGAGACTAAGCCTTCAAAATATCTTATAGAATACGAATATTATAATTATAGGAGTAACAGACATACAAAAGTGTATCTATTAAACATAACACTACATTTGGGCTTATATTTTATATGTCTTTTTTTCCATTTCATTTTCTTAGTATTTAATTTGTATTCAATATATTTATATATATTGGTCTGCAATGGAATGGAGATTAAACAAAAACAAAAACTAGTCATTTATCAGATTGTTGAAGGAGCACTGCCCTAAAGCTCTGGTGCAAACAGCTTGCTGTGTTACCAGCTCTGTGGCAAAGAGGAGACATACTCAGATAAGTAACAATCCTCAGATAATAAATCTAAAATCCCATTTTGGTCATGGTTTATAGTTTAACTTCATTCATCAATCAGAACACCTGCTAAGCGGGGTTAATTCTAGCTAACGTTAATTGTAGGCTCCCAACCTACTTACACAGCTTTTTCCTTTAGAGCCAAAGAGAGCTCGTTAACAACGGAATCTAACATTATAAGATAGTGCTCAACCTAGAGGTTCCAACTCCTTTACCACACGGGACTTCCTTTATGTAAGGTATGCTTTGACCTCCTTCATAAGTTTACTTTTTCTCCTTACCATATGCTTGAAGAAGAGAGCATCCTGAAAATCACTTACTCGTTAAATGCTTTCAAGAATCAGATATCTTTTCCTTTGTTTTAGAAATCATTTAGGCATAAAGGTAAAGTCGCCATGTCAGAAAGCAAGGAGAAGTTAGAAAAGCATCAAGAAAGTTAGTTTGGGGGCAAGGAATGTTGAAGAAAGTGACAGAGATCAATGTCACATAACCCTCTTTTGGATGGTTAGATACAGCAGGTAGGCACTACTGCTACAGCAATTTCCAGGTTACTTAATTTTAGCTCATTTCTAAATACTAATCCTGCCATAATTAATGGTTTTTTGAACTTTTATTCCAGATCTGAGAAATTCTGAGGAAAAAAAAAAAAGTACCAAATGACAGAATAGCAGATAAATTAAGAACATGAATAAATAGTATATCTTTTCATTTACATGAAAATGAACGGTAAAACAAATTAGATTTATTGGTCTCTTTATTTATAATAACCCTAGTCCCTAAGAAAAGCCAGATTCCCTTAAAAAGTAGTTTAGCCAATGTAGGAACCTAGGGAGCTATTTTCTAAGAGTAGAAACTGTGCTTCCCTGCCCCCATGAATAAAGTTTATTTTTTACAAATTTATCATCTCACTAGTTTCATGATACATCAATCTACAATAATATAATCTGTCTAGAAAAAAATGTTTAATTTCTAGAAGACAGAAAACAGTTGAATTCTAAAACGTCTAAGTTACATGTAACTTTCATTTTTATTCTAACAGCTCGATGCACTGTTCCTATTGCAATAATAAACAGACATTATGAATGTGATTTATAGCATTTTAAGACCTACAGTTGGAAAAGACCACTTGGCCATCAATTTAGATAGCCATAAATGACACATCATACTGATTATCTTTACTAATGCCTTGGTTAGTTACACCACACATGGACACTTTTCGTTTCAGTGAAAAAGAAAATAGCAGATACCTGCATATCACAAAAATCAATCAAGACAGTTCAAGAAAATACTGATATTGGAAAAGCTCTAACCATTTTATAGAAATAAAAAGTTTTACTGATATATTTGAATTAACTATAATTTTTGATAAATGTTACCTCAATCAGTTTTTAAATATATAAACCAACTTAATTCTCACAAATGTCAGTGCTAATAAGGTCAATTAAATTCTAATGCAGTTATTCGAAAATATGGTTCATGTCAGAATAAAGCAGGCTCACAAAGCCCCGGACAGGCGGCCCAAATGAGTGAAGTAGGCTTCACGGCCAAGGAGTGCTGTGACCATCTACTGATACTCAGCTCTAGCCAACTGCTGCCTTGAGGGAACAGACACAAATCAATAATAATAAAAATAAATACTCTGCTACTCTAACAAAGTAAAAGTCTGTGGGGTAGGTTTGGTATAACTACCAGCTTGCTCTTTCACGAAGTTCTTTCAGGACTGGCAGTGAAACTGGGCCTATTTTACTGCTGAACACCAAGATACTCATGAAATACTGTTCCCTCCGAATGTAGTAGTTTTTCTCGCTAAATCTTTTGAGCACTGTGCATGTTGTGAACTCTTTATGAAGAACTTATCTGCATTTTCACTAAACAATGGTTTCATCTTTCTTCCTCACTAATGTCTGGTCAAGTAATGACAAATTAACAAATTAACCCAAATGTTAAAACATATTAACAGAAAATTCATTTCTAAGCAGATCTGAAACAACTTCAAATATCCATTCTAGTGCCCTCTTTCTTTAAAAGGAAATGTGAGGGATCCCTGGTGGTTCAGCGGTTTGGCGCCTGCCTTTGGCCCAGGGCATGATCCTGAAGTCCCAGGATTAAGTCCCACGTCTAGCTCCCTGCGTGGAGCCTGCTTCTACCTCTGCCTGTGTCTCCGCCTCTCTCTCTCTTTGTGTGTTCTCATGAATAAATAAATCTTTTAAAAAAAAATTAAATAAATAAATAAAAGGAAATGTGAGTTAAAAACAATCTGATTTAGGGACGCCTGGGTGGTTCAGTGGTTGAGCGTCTGTCTGCCTTTGGCTCAGGTCCTGATCACAGGGTCCTGGGATCAAGTCTTGCAGGGGGCTCCCCACAGGGAGCCTGCTTCTCCCTCTGCCTGTCTTCGCCTCTGTGTGTCTCTCATGAATATATAAATAAAATCTTTTTAAAAATCTATTTTTCTCATCTTCATTCTAACACAAAAAAATTCAAAACGCCGGAAAACTTTTGGATTCTAATCCAAAAGACTACCTTCCCCCCCCCCACAAAAACTATGCTTTATTTTCTCCAAATGAGGAGTTATACTGATTTCTACGTATATGGACAAATAATATTCTCCATTTACATTTCTTGAGAGCAACTGGAACCTTGATTCCTTGGAATCCCTGGGAATCAAAAGAACGTTATGGTGCTTCTTTCCAGGAAAATACACAGAGCCCTAAATTTTTGTATGCAATTTCACAGGATTCAGAGTACCCCAGGATCTCCAGGGGGTCTGCCCACCCCACGTTAAGGACTCCGGTGCTTAAAATGAGGTTCCTTTCTATTATGAAATTCTATGTATCCTTTTTATTTTTAAAAAGATTTTATTTATTTATTTATTCATGAGAGAGAGAGAGAGAGAGAGAGAGAGAGAGAGAGAGAGAGAGGCAGAGACACAGGCAGAGGGAGAAGCAGGCTCCATGCAAGGCGCCCCATGCAGGACTCGATCCCGGGGTGGGGGGCCAGGATCCTGCCCTGAGCCAAAGGCGTGTGCTAAAACCGCTGAGCCACCCGGGGATCCCCTCTATGTATCTTTTTAAAAGATAGTCTTTCTTAGTGAGACCTTTAGCTCTGAGATAAGTTGGGGAAGCAGCTTCCCTTTCTTTCCAACTGTCCCTACTTCCTACCAGCCATCCTGAAAGCTGACAGAAAATTGAGAATTTCTTACCTCAGAGAAATTAACAGCCAAGGGAACGATTCCAGCCACGTAACATCCCACCAACATAGCCAGAGACAGCAGACTAATGGAGATGAAATCATCCATTCTGTCCTCCTTTATTTGCCCACCGCCACCAGAACTGCAAATTTTCAGGGGCCTCAAAGGGTCCTTAGGTTCTTAAACGCGTATAGTGATCCCAACAGAACAAGGGGACTGTCCAGGTCTTCCGTCCTCCCCACTAGATGTGTTCAGAAACCCCTTTCTCTGGAACGCGCCTGGAACTAGCCCCTTTTTGCTGATATTAGCACCAGAGAGAACTTTCAGCAATCTCAGGTCCCGGCCCCTGCGTTTTCAGATGCCAGTCACTGGATTCCCTGGGGTTTACGGTTAAAGGTATGCAAAAGAGCGATTTCTTCAATCGTCGGAGGGGTGGCACAATGGGCCCACTTCCTCCACGGACAACGTTCCAGATGGCAGCAAGAAAAAGGAAAACTCGAGCCGACTTGTTCGTTCTCCCGGCGCCCCTACGTCCCCGGGGCAGTCTTCCCCCAGGCTGGGACCAGCCCACCAGTCCCGGCAAACTCTCCTCCGAGTCTAGAACGGGCAAAGAGTCCCGCAGGTCTCTAACGATGGGCTTAGGGGTTCAGCAGGGAAGCTGATACAAAGCTGTCTCTGCCCTATACCCGGTGCTGCCCATATTACTCCACTCCGCTGGGCCTCGACCCGGAGCCACCGATACTACAGCTGCCATGGCCGCCAAGTGGCACCTCTTCATTACATCCACTTCCGGATTGCTTCACCGCCCCCTCCTTTAGAAGAGTACTTCCGGGTTACAACCGACCTATGGCCCGGGATTCTTAGGCTACCGCCATTTTTGAATAGGGCTAATTAAAGAGGTCTGGTGTCAGAGTCCATATATATTTGTGTTCACTCTAGCCGTGCGTCTAATGGCGAGAATATGGAAGACCGTGTCTCGAGAAGAAACGATTTTTTTTTTAGAAGAAACGATTATTTTTTCCAGTTCTGGAGCAATTACCTGTATCTATCTCCTCGCCCTTATCCAAGATGGCTGAGCCAGAGTCGGTATCCGCTCTAGCTGCCGGAAATGTGTTCGCTTCTATGGTCCAAAAGGCTCTTTCGCGGTGCGTTTCTGACGACTTCCGGCGGCTCCTCTCGCGGGGATTGGCTGTTGGCGGCGTTGCGGCTAAGCTCGTGTGCGGCGGCGGTGTCGGCAGCGGCTGCGGCGAGAGACTTTGGCGCGATGGTGAGAAAAGCCTCGGCGGCTCCCCGATCCCCCGGCCTCTGAGGCGATCCCAGCCGTGTACATCTTGTCCCCATCCCATCCAGCGCGAGAGTGCAGCTCCCCGGCCCTCCAGCTTGTGGCGCGACCTCTCCCCTTCCCGCCGTGGGGCCGCGGGGCCGCGGGGCCGCTGGGCCTGGCTCTAGGCCCCGGAGCCCGGGGCCGCCCTGCGTTTGCGCGCCCGCGGCCGAGGTCCGGCGAGGCGTGCGGTGCGGAGGATGCGCTTCCTCCCGCTCGCTGCGTGGGGATGCTGCGCTCCCCCCCCCCCCCAGACTGTGGCCCGATGTGGGAACAATGGCCGAGGGATGGCTGACAAACCTGCGCCTGGAGCTGACAGATGGGGTGTGCTGCGCCCAGCGTGTGGGCGGGAGGGGTCGTCTTTGCTTTGTAGCGTGCCTTCTCAGCCATCCCCTTTTGTTTTGCTGGGCTCCGTCTTCAAACAGACATACAACGTTTTTTTCCCCCCCTTTTCCGAGACCCCAGAGGCCTGATCTGGCGTTTCTCCCGGCCCTCAATCCTGTTCTTACTCATTCTCTCTGGGACTCAAAGCTGAAAAGAAGATGGGCTCAGCTGAGGGTCCGGGTTCCTTAGAATCGGATCGGGGTGGTAGTGCAGTGAGTGGGTATTTTGTTCGTGGTTTGTTTTTTTTTTTTTTTAATTTCATTTTTATTTATTATTATTATTTTTTTTTTTAAATTTCATTCCTCCAAAAAGATGATCCACAGGGATCATGAGGAATCGTGGTTATTCCACACTTCAACCTCCGTTTTCTGATCGCTGGGGTTAAACGTTAACAGGTTACGCAGCTGTTGTTAACAAGGAACTCTCTGAGGTTGCACCTTTCTGAATTGAGGTGTTTTTACGTGTTTGACCCAACGTGGTCTCCCAGAGACGACTGAGCAATCAGAAGACTGGGTCTCCAGTTCTTTCTTGTTTTGTCATAATTGGCAGTGTGACTTTTGGAAGACTCTGTATCTCTGAGTTTCCCTTCTTTCTCTGCCCTTTATGTCACTCTCTGGTAACGTGTTATAATGGTAAGATTAAGATCTAAGGAAGGGACAGCAGTTAGTATCAACTGAGCCGTCCTGGGTCGGCAAATACCAGTGATAATTCCTTCTCAGTCCAAGTAGCTTTAAGAGCTACGAATTTGTAGATAAACAATTATTGGTTCAGTCGTCGTATGTACTTCTGCTTTATTAAAGACAAGCTTCAAGGGGTGGGGATTTTTTGTGGGGTTTTTTTGGTAGTTTGGCAGAAGCATCTGAAGCTAATGACCTAGTCCTCCTGTGTATTGTAATATTTCTGTAGCAGTAGAAGGATGACTCAGTTCATGTGTAAGAATTTTAAGAGTAGGACCAGATTAACTATTCATTAAAGTGGTTTATATCTGCTTGGTAATCAGAATAAGGATTTTATTAAAGTATATCTGTGTACCTTTTCCTGACTTAGGTTTTGCGACCTTATTTTCCTATTGTGAGAAGTATATATGTATTTGTTTACGTGTACTTGTATTTTGCATAGATTTTTTTTTTTTTTTAATAAAACCAAACGGCTTTGAAAATAGCTCCAGTAAAAAGAAAGTGATCAAAACTGGTTTGGGAAGCTTTCTGATCTTAAAATGTTAAAAGCAAAATACTGCCACTTAAAAATAATACCCATTTCAGCTACAGTTATGTAAATTTAGTCATTTTTTTTCTTAGTTTTTAATCGTTGTCTTTTGAGTACTAAGTATTGAAAATAGTGAGCTTTCTCAGAAGTTCACTTTAAGACTAGATGTAAAAAGTAGCGTATTGAATAGCCGTTTCCATATCATTACTTTTTTGAAGTAAATTAGTCCCTTAATTTTCATTAGAATGAGAACAAAATTAAATAGTAGTGACTGATACGACTACTGTGACTCCATTGTTCTGCTAAGGATAGAAAAAGAACATAGATCAGATCCACTGCTTACAGTCATAAATAGTATTTCTCTTTTTCTCAGCCTACTTCTAAATTTTTATTAAGGCACTTAATAGGGGCACCTGGGTGGCTCAGTAGTTGAACGGCTGCCTTTGACTCAGGTTGTCGAAGTCCCACATCGGGCTCCCCATAGGGAGCCTGCTTCTCCCTCTGCCGATGTCTCTTTCTCTCTGTGTATCTCATGAACGAATAAATAAATTTTTTTAAGGCACTTAATAGGGCTGGAGATAGAAAGTGACCAGTGGAGATAGAAAACCTAAGTGGGTTTATAATCTAGTTGGGAAGAAAGGAAGAAAAGAAGAAAAAACAGTAGAACGTAATTCATGCTGAATGCTTAGAGGCAGTAAGTACAACAGTTGCAGAAAGCAGCCCTTAAGGACAGGGAGTCCTTACAGAGTTGTTAGGCCATCATCCGACACCACACTTGAACAAAAGCATAAATGTAAGAAGAGCACCCTGATTAATAGTGCATTAATAACCAGTGATCATTTGTGTCATGACTAGAGATTTTATAACATATATGAATTTCTCAAATATGAGTTAGAAACTTAAATTGAAATCACTTTTCCCCCTGCAGTCTCACACCATTTTGCTGGTACAGCCTACCAAGAGGCCAGAAGGCAGAACTTATGCTGACTATGAATCTGTGAATGAATGCATGGAAGGTGAGTTTAAGCACTAATGAAGAGTTTTTATTTTTGTTTTCTTGATCTTCACTGTTAGAATATGTCTCATTTAGGAACTGGGCTTGTTTTTCCTCCAGATTTCTCAAGTTATTAATTTGAGCCAGGAAGGAAGAAGATACTAGGGACCATATTTGTTGAAAATTGAAACATTGATTATATGTATTGTCTTTCTGCTGCAAGTATTTTTTTTAATCCAGCTCCCGTGGTTACAGTGAATGGCTTTCTGAAGCCTCCCTTTGTTGATATTCCGTTATTCATTATGTAAAATATCTTAAAGTTCTTGTGTATTCTGGTTAGACTCAAACACTATAGAGTTGTTAAGACAGGCTCTAGGGATACCTTCAGAACCTATTAGTCTGCTGATTGAACAAATAAGCATTAAAAGCTTTTGAGGTTTGAGTACACTCCATCAGCGTTAGAAGATAAAAATAAGCTCAGAGAATAAAGGCAAATGGAACCAAATAAGTATAATTTATTGTGTACTTGATAAGCTGACACCACCCTGAAGGGAACTATTAGCCCTTAATGCTTCTTTACTCAGTAAACCATTAGATGAGAGCGCATAGATTGGATCATCACAAATTGGGTTCATCCTTACATTTAATCATTATATCGAGTAAACCAGTTGTGCACATTCTGCACCCTTTTTAGCAAATTATCCGTTCTTCACTTCTTTCTTTTTTTAAATTTTTTAATTTATTTATGATAGAGAGAGAGAGAGAGAGGCAGAGACATAGGCAGAGGGAGAAGCAGGCTCCATGCACCGGGAGCCTGATGTGGGATTCGATCCCAGGTCTCCAGGATCGCGCCCTGGGCCAAAGGCAGGCGCTAAACCGCTGCGCCACCCAGGGATCCCGGTTCTTCACTTCTTTCTATAAAGATTTTATAGTCACTGTTTTTGCAATTGGGCATGTCCTTGAATTTGTTGATTATCCAGAGCTAACTGGGTTAGCCTTAAAATCTGTCCTTGTAAAGCCAACAATGGGTAGATCTGTGGGGGGGAAAAACTGGTAATAATTAGAGACAGCTTCTAGGTAATTGGTACCATGCCTTCCTAATTGTAGATTCTCTTAATTTTCAAAGAAGAGCAGGTCTTGTCCTTCCCTCATTTTAGAACCTTTCCTTTGCTGACCATTAAGGTAGACTCTGTGTACATTCTGCCTTAGCACATTATTGTCTTACCTGTATTATGTTTGGTCTTTGATTTCACGATACTCTGCCAACCTTTGCTATTTTAATGAATCCTAACTTTCTCTTTTTCATTAATACACTTTGTTTCTAGAGCAGTTCAAGGTTTACAGAAAAACTGAACAGAAAATACAGGGTTCCTAATGTACTCCCTTTCCTCACCTCCACAGTGTCTCCCATTAATAACACCTTAACAAAAATAATAACACCTTAATGTTGGTGTGGTACGTTTGTTGCAGTTGATGAAACCAGTATTTTTTTTTTTAAGGATTATTTATTTGCGAGAGAGAGAGTGCCCATGCAAACAAGCGGGGAGAGGGGCAGAGGGAGAAGCAGACACCCTGCTAAGCAGGGAACCCAGCTTGGGCTTGATCCCAGTACCCCAGGATCATGACCTGAGCCACCGAAGGCAGATGCTTAACCAACTGAGCCACCCAGGTGCCCTGGTAAACCCAATATTGCTACATTATTATTACTAACTAAAGTCTACTGTTAACTAAAATCTGTTATTAACTAAAGCTTATATTGGGCTCTTCATGTTGTACAGTTCTGTGGATTTTACTAGATGCATATTCATCGTTACAGTATCATACAGAATAATTTTCACTTACCTAAAAGTCCCTGTGCTGCACCT